ATAATGAAAGTCTTCGTGGAGCAATATTGGAGCAATGACTGTCAAAGTAGATCAGTTAATATATCTGATTAGTTGGGGATGGATTACCAAACTGTCATTTGGAAGTATTAATAACTATTAACTTTTGTCAATATTGTCTATAACTATTGCTATAGTTTCTATTACAACTATAACTATTGTCAACATTGACAAGCTGAAATAAAGGACATGGAATATAATTTTCAAAGTTTCAAGCTTTGAACAGTTCTAAATGTACAACTAGCACCTATATATTTGAGTTGGTTTTGAAAAGCGCTGAGTACTACGAAGAGAGGCGATAATGGTCTCCCCCTCACTGCTTTCTCTTTATTTCTCCCTCTCTTCTGTGTTTTTTTGGTTTAATAACAAGGAGCAGGTCCAAGGGCAACATGGAGCCTTGAAACAAGACAAGAATGGTTGCTGTTGCCTGGAGAATCTGGTGTGCATATGTTCAACTCAAACGATAAACCTGAGTTATTGCTATTTTGACTCTAAAAAGTCAGTGATACACATTTTTCAATTTACCGTCCTCAGAAACAGCTCTTCAGTCATAAAGACAAGAGTAGTCCCTCATTGTTTGAAATCTAGCATTACTCACCCTAGTAACTAAGTTTAAAAATTTGAAAATCAGTAAAATTAATTTTTAATGTATTTGCCACTGTTTTAGACTTTGTCAGGATCCCAGCAGCATTGTCACTTTGAAAATTAAGACAACCTATGTGGAAAAATGACTTGCTCATTTGCTTTCCTTGCTTGGCTTCTTCAACAAGACTGTTAGCTTGAATTACATCAGACCTTGAATCTCTTTCACCTTGAATCACTAAATTAAATGGTTAAGAACATAATAGTATTAAAAATAAAATACTGTTATTGCTGTCTTTCTGAACTGTCTTGCAACCTCATGATTAAAAAATCGTGCTTCCTTAAGGCCTTCATAAAAGCCAAGTATTGTTGCTGTTTGGGAGAATTAGCTAGTAAACACTAAACAAAGTTTCTTCTAGAATGTGAAAAAATAAGTTAATGTATTATTCTATAGTGTGCATATATATTTATACACACAGTATGCTATATAGCATACAGTAGTGTATATATATCATAGTGTGTATCTATATAGTGTATAGATAGTCTATACTATATGATATATATGGTATACTGTATACATAGTGCACACGTGTATATATGTGCTATGTATATAGTATACTTATATACTATAGTATATATTACTGTGCTATAGTATGACAGTAACATCTTGATTAATGCTCACCAATGAGCTGCTTGGTGATAGTGAGCTTATACTCACTATTATTCAGGCCAGCTCAGTTTCAGTCTCTTTCTGACCTTGATCCTGTAACTCCAAATGCTATTTCTGTTCCCTGTGTAGTACCATCAGCTGTCCCAGTTTCCACATCATGCCACACAAGGTTTTCAATTCTGCACAAGTCTGGCATATCCTGACTCTTGTTTGACTCCAAGGCTGCCAAAGGTAATAAACCTCAACAGTTGTTTGCCATTTCTGAACCATTTCACTTGGAGAGATTTTAGTTGCCTCCATCACACGTTTTGGTCCACAGATGTTGAAGTGGTTTGTTACAGGTTGGATCTGTACATTAATCTAGTTTGGCAATTGTTTCTCAGTAGCAGAAGTGATGAAAAAAGACTATAAGTTTCCAAGTCTTCTCATTCCACATTTTATGGAGAAGTAATAACTTGTGGGATCTTTGTGATTTTCAAATTCTTGTTCATTTTATAAAATTGCCATGTAAGTGTATGCTGCAGCAGTCCCTCTAGTGATATAAACTGATGGTATAATGGTTTCCAGGAAGGGAAACACAGAAGGATTATCTGATAAATTTTGTTGGTCTCCAGGTATTTTTGAAGCTGACATTGTTCTCTGAATGTGCATTTTGCCTTGTTCTCTTTTATTAAAAAATAAGCCTTAAAAATAACATGCAGTTTTGGTTTGTAGACCCAATAGCTTGTTTAAATGACAGCAAAATTAAATTGGCCACTAAGAGGCTGCTGTAACGAAGTAGTAGGATGAGACCATCTGCCTCCCCACACCAAATGAAATATTGCTTAGGAGCACAGTATGTATCAAAAAGTCACAGAATAGTTGGGGTTGATGATAGGCATCTCTGGATATCCTCTAGTGGACCCTCCTGCTCAAGCAGGGTCAGCTAGAGTAAGCTGCTCAGGACTGTGCCCGGGCAGGTTTTCAGTATCTCCATGGATGGAAACTTTGCAGCATCTCTGGGCAATGTGTTTCAGTGTTTGTTTGATCACTCTAACAGTGATTTTTTTTGCTTACTTTTTAATATTTTAATATTATTCTAATTTGCTTTAAAACAAAATTCTAGCACAAGGAAAGTAAAGATATTGCTTGTCCCTAAAAATCCACTGCCTGTGTGTTACCTGGTCTGGCTCCAGATCTTGCAACCTTTTTTTCACACATAACATGACATCACACTTCTTCCCAGTTTGGATAGGAAATTACTGATTCTTCTCCCAGCAAATGAAATGGCAGGAGAAAGGCAATGCTAACAGTGATTTATTTAAAACGAGGTTCCAGTTTGTATATGCTTAGCATTTTCTCAATTTCACCCCTTTATTCAAAGACTTATCTTGTCTGACAACCTATTGCCTACCCTTTAAAAAGGTTTTTCCATTCCAACTCCTTCCCCTTATCAGCATCTTGTTGGCTTTCTCCTTTCTACTTTTACTTTGCAGCTAGTGATTTTACAATATGGAAATTACATGTGCACCAATGTGTCTGAAGCTCTAGTCTGGAACTTGGCTAGGTAGGAAAAGCAGCATTTTATGAACATTGGTTTGTATAGATGCAGTAATCCAGTAGAGAGGAGAGATCTTCGGGTGTATCTCTAAGGGTGGCTAAAATGAAGTGAGCAGTCCTCAAGGCAGAATGTCACATTCTGATTTAGAGCGAGACTTTCTCCTTTTAAACTCACTTTCAGTCAGTTTGGGAGCCACGTAGCTAACATCCAGTGTGCATGCATACACATACACACACAGATTCATATGCACACAAACATTCTAGGCTTAAATGATTAAATTGTAGCTATGAGCAGAGATTAAGTCCTAGTAAAGAAGCATTCGAATATTGCATTAGAGGCATGTACATGTGTAAATAATTACAAAGCTTAAGGTCTGGGTGCACATTTTAAATACTCCACCCTTGGGCTGTGCAATTGCGCCTTCTCCGAAATTAAAAGGTCCAGAGCCAAGATGTGCATAGCACTTAAAACCTTGACAGATGTAAATAAATTAAAAATAAGGGAGTGATAAGTTCAACAAATCATGATAGATGTTTTCTCCATGCACATTTAAAGTTATAGCTTCTAGAAATGCTTGAAAGTCATGGGAACACCTATCACCACCAGTCTGCATAGGAAAAAAGGCAAAGAACAGATGGCAGCATTTTAGTGTTTGCATTTAAAATATAAATCCAATGCCAAAGGGAATTATTATTGTTTCAAGTTCAGCACTTTCTATTCATTCTTCTCGAGCCCCAGATTTTCAGTAGTACAATTTTTGAAAATTACATTGTTCTTAAATATGCTCCCTTTTTTTAATTTTTAAATATGAGTTTGAGGGAAAAAATCACACAGATAGAACACATAGTGTTCTAGTATTGGTATATAGTGTTCACAGTACTCAAAATATGCTATAGTGTTCATAGTATTCAAAAATAAAGGCATTGCGCCTGCCAATATATTACTTTCCTTTCACTGGATCCATTAGTCAACTGCATGAGGCTAGCACAGCTATAAGCATGTGCAAGACTGAAGGCAGATCACTTTTAATACTCTTCTACGAGCTTCAATGCATGAGAAAATTCTGTAGTAGGTTTTCAATGTGAAATACACTATAAAATGTGGCAACACTTGTTAAAAATTAGCATATGATATGCTATAGGTACATACAGATCTATGATTTTTTTTTCCTCCTAATTCCTCATGTTTTAGGGCAAAATTATGAGTCATATAGAGGATAGTATTCGACAAGTGAAGCTCACAACTTCTTCTAGTTTATTAAAATAAGCTAGTAAAGATCATCTATTAATATAAGACAGAAGTCTTATGTTTTAATTGTGATCTGGAGACATGGTTGTTTTCAACTTGTTTCTCCTCAAGAATTATGCATAAAATATGTATATTTATTAAATCACATTACATGTTTATTTACCAATACCTAGAAGATGTTTTTACAGTCTCCTCTTTTGTGTTTCACTGAAAGTTTATATTTTAATAGAATAAGTATTGAGTGAAAACCAGGCTTAAAAGTGCTGCTTCGCCATCTGTAAGAAAGACCAGCAGAGCAAGGTCAAAAATCTGCAGCACTGTTTGCAGGGAGCTCCAGGAGGATTTCCAGCAGAACTCAAATTGTACATTGGAGTTCACAATGTTAAATGTAAGGCAGCTAATTACACTTTTGGGAAAGGCAGCATCTGAGTCATAGAACTTTTAACTGAATCTTAAAATGTTTTCTGCAACAGTATAATCTGTGGTATACCAGATAGCTAATATGAAAATATAACCAAGGAGTTATTCATTTTGAAAAAGATTCTAAGGGCCATAATCTGCTATATGGGCACTGGAACCAGTGTAAGTCTCTTCTATCAGCTGCCTGCTGCAAAAATGTGGATGTGTTTGCGCAGACTAGGATGCCTATACTGTACCATCTGCTGAGATGGAAGCTTAGTTTCTTGAAGAGCTTCCCATCCCAGACACATACTGGGCAATCAGCAGTCCCCCGAGGGCAATCAGTGGGGTCAAAAAGGGTTGCAGCTTTTGCACAGCATAAAGAAATGGGCTTGACTGTTCCTGCCAAATTTCTCTCCTTCAGAGAGAGCCTCCCTCATTTTAAGCCTAATCTTAAGATACTGGCAAAATCTCCCACTCGTAGGATGAAGTGTTTTAATGAGGCATTAGGAAACAGCTAACTCCTAATATTTCTAATTTGCGATGACTCAAGGTGGCGCGGACTGGCAGCTCCAGGGCCGCTCAGTGCAAAGAGTCCAGCAGGTATCCCTTGGGAAAGGCGGCCAGGGAGGCATCTCCCAGCCAGGAGGGAGGCAGGCGCAGCGTATCCCAGGAAGCTGCTGCACAGCCGGAGGCAGCTGGGGAGCACAGGTCCTCTCCCCTCCCCGGCCACGTTACGCAGATTATCCCAGACGTCCGTCCATCAAAGGACACGGGGATACACATACCTCAAATATTTACGGTGCCTGCACTTGGAGAACGAGACGGTTCGCTCACATCTGCGAGCGGGCCACTTTTAAAACATCAAAATAAACCATCTGGCCGCGCGACTGTTTCTAATTACTT